ATCGGATGAACAGACATCCAGGCGAGGTGGAGACGAGGAGGAATCCTGGCGACTCGGATGACGCCTGGGAAGCGGAAACCAGGTGACCATTTCCATCAGAATGGCACACCCATCGACACCTTCGAAGAGGATGGCGATCATGAAATTCTCACAGGCACTACAGCAAGGCAACGGGCATGGGCTCCAACCTGGGCTTTTCCACCGAGAACGACCAGTTAAGAACCTCTCTGGCCCACGCACAGCGGACTATTAGCACCCTACGTGGTGCTCTCCAACGAAAGAAAGAGGACGCCATGCGGGCGAAGAAGTCCTCGGTGATCTCACTCGGTGACCCTGCGAAAGCCAGCGATATGCTCATCCGAGACGATGATGACGACGACGATGACGACGACGATGATGATGACAACCCTCATGACGCTCAATTCCCTCGGAAGCTCTTGCTTAGCTCGTCAACTCGTGGTACCCCTCGAGAGGGTCACGTGGTCGGACCCGTGAGGTCTACCTTCTCGTCGAGCCGGTCCGAGGCACGCCAGCAAGCTCTCCCAGCGTGCCGATGAGCTGGCGTCTTCTTCCGACGAACCTTACCCGACGCTTGAGCAGATGCAGCGATCGCTCCAAGCTGAGCAAGCCGAGCAAGAAGTCATCGACTCATTCACTCACAATCCGATGGGGCTGCTGAGCGGCATCTCGCCGAAGCGGATGCGCGGGATTTGTTTGGGGACATGATGATGGACCCACAGTTTGCTGAACTAGCGCCCCAGATTGGCACCAAGATCCCGCCTACGACACATGATGATGATAACGGCGAAGGCGGGGTGGCCGAGGATGATGATGATGAGACGCGGGACCTTCGGCCGTTGAAGGAAGCACTTGGTGGCCACAGCCGCAACTCGCAGGTCTACGGCTCTGATGACGATACGACCCGGTCACTGGGTTTCATCTGTCGGTCCAGTTTGCAAATACCCGACGACATCCGGGCCGAGCTGGCGCGTCGTCGACTCGATTCAGACGCGGATACCAAGGCCATTGTGTCCGGAGTCGAGGTCGGAACGATGACCGATGAAGTTGCGCCCAAGACCGTTGAAGTCATCAAGGAGGTCCGCGTCGAGGTCCCGGTTGAGGTCGAGAAAATCGTCCAAGTAGACCGGGTCGTCGAGGTCGAGAAACTGGTCGAGGTTCCCGTTGACCGGATCGTTGAGGTGGAGAAGATCGTCGACCGAGTCGTCGAAGTCCCAGTTGATCGGATCGTTGAAGTACCGGTCGATCGGATCGTTGAAGTTCCGGTTGATCGGATCGTTGAAGTTCCAGTTGATCGAGTCGTCGAGGTCTCAGTTGATCGAGTCGTCGAAGTTCCAGTTGATCGAATTGTCGAAGTCCCAGTGGATCGGATCGTCGAAGTTCCAGTTGATCGAATTGTCGAAGTTCCAGTTGACCGAATCGTCGAGGTGGAAAAGATTATCCACGTGCCCGCCCCGATTGCCTCAGAAACGCTCCAATCCCTTCCCTCACAATCTCCTACTACTCCTCAAGCCGTAGCTACTCGTGATGATCATGCCCGTCACCTTCAATCCGACCGCAATGATGATCCTAAACCTCCCGTCGAAAAAATTGTCGAGGTTGAAAAGATTGTCGAGGTTGAGAAAATCGTCGAGGTTGAGAAAATCGTCGAGGTTGAGAAAATCGTCGAGGTTGAGAAAATCGTCGAGGTTGAGAAAATCGTCGAAGTCGAAAAGATTGTCGAGGTTGAGAAATTAGTCGAAGTTGAAAAGATTGTGGAAGTCGAAAAGATCGTGGAAGTTGAGAAAGATTGTGGAAGTAGAGAAATTGGTCGAAGTGGAGAAATGATCCCAGCTGAAAAGATTGTCCAGACGGAGAAGCTAGTGCAATGAGAAATGTGGCAGAGGCTGGGGTAGAGAAACCG